AAGACGCTAAGCCCATGTTTAATGTGACCTACAACCGTCGTCTACGGAGACTGTAAAAAGAGGTGTGAGGAAGAGTCCTCTGTCGGCCCAACAAGTGATGGTGGTTAGTGAGGCTCTTCCAGCTGCTTGGCTGTCTCTCTTGCTATGCCTGCTGAAATTTTAAAATAGTTTGTCAATTGGCAATTTACTGACAGATGCAGAAATGCCACCAAGCTGAAAACAGAAACACATTTCTCTGGGCCAACAGGGGCCATTAATATTAATCACTTACATCCTGTAAACACTTTCTAATCAGTGGGCTCCTCCCAGCAGTAAGTACTTGTGAGGCCAAGGGCACAGACAGAAATCTGACAATACACTGTGGATCACAGCCACAGACATGGCACTTGTTCTGAAAATGGCTGTGAGAAAAATGAGATTATTCCAGGGGGAAAAAAATCAGGATATTATGGGGATAATGTTCTTGTTAACAGGAGAGGAAATAAACCCAGCAGATTGCAAATAGCACGGACAGGTACAAATTAGCATACAAAGTCTGTAGCTGTATAGGCAATGCATATAGAATTGGTTATTAAACATATCTATTTCATTAAATAGTTACGAGTAATGTGTAAGCTGCACACATTCATGTGCTCAGTCACTTGCATGCAATTATAAATGCATAAGCATTGTTGTTCATGGGTACTTTTAAATTCATCAGGAGTTTATCATTTGTACATTTCTGAAACTTCAAGCAAACTGTCACATTAGTTACTGGCACCCTCTCTGGGTGATACACTTCTAATAACAGGTATTCTGGCTTACATTAGCCTTCAAATGCTAGAACCGTACTTACACTTGAAGAGCTATGATTTGGGGCTTCTGAAAACATTCAAGAAAATACGGCAAAATTTAGGAAAATTCATGCAGATAGTCATTATACACATCCCTCCAGTTTTATGAAGACCAAATTTTATATATTTAACAATCTGACACTTTCCCATGCAGGACTATATTTCCTGACATTCCAGTATTTGGAGAATAATGAATTTTATCTTGTCACCAACTTCAGACATTTTGTCCTTTGAACAGTAGCAGCTCACACTACTAAAGAAGTATATGCTGGGCAATTTATGTTTCTTCCTCCTGCATGTCAGGTATATTCTCTCAAGCAAAAATGGCCAGTCTTTTTTTGTAATGTCCCTTTAATTGTTAATAAAAAAATTAGATTTTAATTAAAGAACTAAAAATAACCTGAAACTCCTCATGTTTTAGTTTTCCACTGCAAACTTGAAACATTTTTCCCCCTTTTTGCACATTCGGATGTGTTTCAAGAGAACTAACAATTTTAGTCTCCAGAAGACTATTTTACTCTATTTCTTTAGCTAGTTAAAACAAGCTGAGTGAGCAGAACCAGTGAGGGTTATATATTGTGTTCTTTACATGCCTGAAGTTCTACCTAAAGCTATTCTCTGTGGGAAGGAAGATATTAAACAGATACTGTTCAACAGCTTCATCTTCAAATGCATTTTAAAAAATGATTCAAAACCAGAACAGACAGGGCATGATCATTTCAATAAAATTTTGTGGAAACACTGAATGGCCAAAGTCATGTTGTGCCTCCTGAGGGACAAATAAAATGTGACTCTATTTCCTCAAAGATTTGCACAAATGCTGTGTGAGAGGATTTGGTTAAACAGGATTCTATGAGGTGCCAAGTTGTCTGTGCAAACTATCTCCTAACATGGGGGGTTTAAGCAAGATGAAGTTATTTCTTCTGACTTTCCTGCCTAAGCAGCAGAATGTCAGAGAACCTACAACATAACTGGTGATAAAAGTATTTTGGATGCTTATAATTTTTCTCTGTGTACACTGTCTGACCACTTTTTGGTAATATAACTAAGTGATTTTTTTTCTTAAGCAAATTGGTTTTACTATAAAACGTGACTTTTTAAAGGTGAATAAAAGGGCTGCTTTGTAGGATGCAATTATTCATAATGAAAAGCCATTTTTAGAATAAGATGGCACTCATCATCTATTCTATTGACTTACATGTACAAATTGGAAACAAAATGAAACCCAAGGGATCACGTGCTCTGGCATGTGACTGCATTGTCACACACCAATTACATTCTTTGTATGTCTTTGTTAGACCTGTAGTATGCTCAGGGGGTTGTATAGGTCTTCCAGCTCTTTGCCTTGTTAGGATACACTTGTAAAAGCTAAAAATGTTGGGCTAGGGCTGGGGAGTTGGTTATGTTAGATTCCTTCTCTGATGGCAACTGGAGTCAAGGCATCTGAGAGAATTAAAATGGTACAAGATTTTAGCATGAAAAAACATGAACAATCACTCCATATTCACCTTCTCCTTGCCATTAGGATTTTATAGACTTCTGTTAGAGCCTCTCACAGTCTTTTTTCCAGGCAGAAGAGTCTTTGTCAATTTAGTATTCCTGATACAGAAGCTGTTCTACGATTACGTTTGCCATACCTTAGCATGTCCTTTGAGATGGAGAGATGCTTTATAGATTTTTCCAATTTCATAAACATGTTTTCTATATTATTCCCTAGTTATTTTCCCAAGATTCTTAGCTTTGTATTTCAGAACACATAAAAAATATTTTTTTCCCAAATGCATAATGTTTTATTTATCAACCTCAGATTTCCTTTGCCTCATCACCATCATAAAATCCTTCTTTAATTTCTTTGAAGGCTATTTTTAATTTTACTACCCTTGGTAATCCAGTGTCATCATCAACCTTCACCACCTAACTATTTATTCTGTGTTCCAGATGACTTACAAGCATCTTTCTCAGTATCAGCTTCAGAACAGATGCTTCTGGGACTCCATTGGTGACATCCTTTTACTTTGAGAAGCAACCAATCCTTCTGATGCACTGTGTTGATTATTTACTACTGTACTGCATTTATTCATATATCTATTGGCTTCTTTATTTTAGTTCCTTCCAGTTTCTCTGATTTAGACATCAGATTTCTAGCCATGCAGTTCTCTGGATCTCTTCTGTAGCTCTTCTGAAAAACTCCTGCTACTTCTGGCCCTCTGATTCCTCAGCTGCTCGGGCACAAATGCTAGGTTACATGTGCCTTCTTAATACATCAGCAATTGCATATATGAACTCCTTTAGGAATCCTGGGTGACTATTAGCTTATTCCAGTGATTAACTTTTATTAATTTTACTGATTTGTTCTAGAATCTCTTCCATTAATGCTTCAATATCAGACAGATCCTCCAGTGATCTGCTTGAACCTATCCCTGTCACAGATGTAGGAAGTTCCCTAAGTTCTTCTATGGTGAGCACAGATGCAGATAATGTGGTCACTTGTCACCTATTGCTTCAACTTCTCCAAACCACTTTTCTATCATTTTGGTCATCAATCAATCCTTTTACTATTTGGTAAGCTTTGTGCTTTTGATCTGTTTAAAAATGAAGCTATGATTTTATTTTTTTTAAATTCCAAACTCTTTTTGGCCTGCCTGATTCAGCTTTCACATTCAGTCAGCATCAGTTTATACTCTGTTCTATTTCCCTTGTAAAGAGTGTCTGCTTTTTTCTGATAGCCTTGTTCATCTGGGTGTTTTGGAATAACAGTCTTTCTCAGTTCTTCTTAAAGTAATATGTTGTAATGTGTTTTCCCTGACTGAGTTCTTCTGCTCTGATTTTTTTTTTGCCTCTTCCTTAATTTTAGATTCTTACCCTTTTTTAATTATAAATACACTTGTAAAACACTTTGGGTTTTTTTGGTCTTGAGTATATTAGGCTGCTGTATGATATGCTTGTTAAAGATCTTTTGGACCTTGGGACAGAAGTCCCTTTTTGACAGGGATTGTTGGTGTCCCTGTCTGTTCCAAAAAGTAATTTATAGTGACTGAAAACTTAGTGCTCATGATGTTTACATGGAAATAAACAAAATCTCCAATTATTACTGTGTTTTCTGTCATCATAGCCTTTATGATCTCTTTGAAACTGTCACAGTGTTACAGTCCTGGCTGTTTGTACTGTAGCTCTGATAAGACACATCCCATCTATGAACAGGAGTTCAAACCAAGATGAATCTGTGTTATCCATGGATATAACTGACAGATTTATCTACCTTTAGTTCATAAACATAAACCAACACCTTGTAACTACCTAATCTGCCCTTTGGAAATGATTTGTACCTTGACATTAAAGTGTTACCTGATTTCTTTTTCCCCACAGCTTCTGTTGTGCCAATTATGTCAAAAATCCTCATTTAAAGCTTGTTGTTAAACTCACCATGAATTCTGTTTGAAGTAAATGAGAACATGCAACTGCATCTCGAAGCTGCTGCCGTGTCAGGACACGGCCAGCTGACTGTAGGTATTCCATTGCTACTTTTTCTCGTGGAGTTGGCACAGTGACGAAAGGTTCAACACTTCCCAAGCTGCTCATATCCAAAGTCAGTGAGACATTGGATCCTCGTCTGCATTAGAAAATAATTAAAACAGTTATATGCGATCTGTGTTACTGTAAGCCCCATATTCATGCAGCTGATCCTGAGTTATTTATTGTTACTAATGCCAAATGTCAAAGTGATACCTTAATAAGGAAGGAATGTTTCACAGAAGAGAACCAGGAGATATATTTCTAATTGATACATATAACAACCTGGAAATAAATTCACAGTTATGTAAGGTATATGTTTAAGAATCTACTGAAGTTAAAAATACAGACTAGAGGGTGAAAAATCCAATAAAATCAGCAGAAATAAATGGAAAGGCAGTGCAAACATTGTGACTACCAAGACAGTGGACAAGGTCTCATGTTAGGTAGGAGGGAAGAGAGACACAATAAACCATAATACATGAGCTGTGTGCCAGCAGGAGGAATCATCACAGACCAAGATGGGTTACTTGGAAATGCCAAACACCTGCAGGACAATCAGTGTTTGCTAAGCAGATATCAGTACTATAAGACTGATAGATTCAGCTGTCTGAACAGATGCACAGCTCAGTGTAAACGTCTCTAGCATTTACCAAGCAGCTATGCACATATAGAGATATGACGCCAGTTATTTTCCTACCTCTGCACGTTATACTCTCCATTAAGTATCCTTACAGGGAAGTGCTTTAAACTCTTAGGTGCTCTACCGTGCTCAGATATATACAAACACAACATAAGATTGTCTCAAGTCTCTCCTAATAGTCGTCTTGACAGATACAACTCTACACCCTGCCCATGTGTAAAGTCACATATGCCAGTGATTAACCATTTACTGGATAATCTATTATTCAGTGATTCCAGTTTTTTGCTAGAACTCTGCTTGGTTGGGTGCATTTTGTATTTGCAGCAGAACTCCTGCTGGATGGGTGTGACTGTGCAGCTCTCTGGACACTGGAATGTTGTTAATACATTAAAACTGCCCCTTTACAGTAATACCACACATTATTATAACTATAATACACACATGATCAGATAGTATCTGTGAAGCAAACTCTACTAATATTGGGGGAATGCTTTCCTTTATAGAATCATAGGATCATTAAGGTTGGAAAAGACCTCCAAGACCATTGAGTCCAACCTTTGACCAAACACCACCATGTCAGCTAGACCACACTGTTATGCCACGTCCAGTTGTTTCTTCAACACCCCCAGGGACAGCTGGTCCACCACTTCCCTGGACACTCTGCTCCAATGCTTGGCAACCCTTTCAGTGAATAAATTCTTCCTGATGTTCAACCTGAATCTCCCCTGGTGCAGTTTAAAGCCATTTCTTCTTGTCCTGTTGCTAGTTGCCTGGGCTGACCCCCACCTTGCTGCAACCTCTTTTCAGATAGTTGTAGACCGTAGACAGTGTAGCCTCATTTTCTCCAGGCTAAATAATCCTAGCTCCCTCAGCTGCTCCTCATATGACTTACTCTATAGATCCTTCACCAGCTCTGTTGCCTTTCTCTGAACACACTCCAGCACCTTAATGCCTTTCTTGAAGTGAGGGGCCAAGAACAGGACACATGTTCATCCACTGTTCACCAAGTATCCCCAGGTCCTTTTCCACTGGACATCTTTCCAGCCACTCTTCCCCCAGCCTGTAGCATGGCATGGGGTTGTTGTGACCCAAGCACAGAACCTCAAACCATTGTCCTCAGCCCATCAATCCAGCCTGTCCAGATCCCTCTGCAGAGTCTTCCTACCCTTCAGCAGACTGACATGCCCACCCAACATAGCGCCATCTGCAAACTTACTGAGGATGCACTCAATGCCCTGGTCCAGATCACTGGTACAGATGTCAAACAGGACCAGCCCCAATACTGAGCCCTGGGGAACCCCACTAGTGACTGGCCACCAACTGGATGTAGCACCAGACCATCTGTAGTATGCATCAAAACTTGCAGTGGCCCACAGGTAGTCGTTTGCATACATATTTGAACAAATGTAACCATATGACCATAAGACATTTTTTTGTTCTGACACAACTTTGATGTACTTCCTTTTATACATGTCAGAAGATCCTTTGATAATTTTTTTAAAAATTAAACTATTTCTATCATGTCAGTCTGTATGAATAGATATTACTTCAGTCACTCACCTGTCACTTAGTAAAGCACAAAGCAACAATGGCCAAGAGACAAGACTACCTGGTGGAACTAGTGAATTTCACATTGTGCCATTGTGTTCACAAGCCTATTTCAGCTTAGGTGGTGGGTGGGTGACAGCAAGAGTTTTGCTGCCCAGGCCCGCAGATCGTAACAGTGACTCAGCGATGAAAGCAGACGTGGGAGAGGCAAGAAGGAGGCCACATGGGGCTAGCTGTCTCCTGGGGTAGATGGGGGCAATTTCTGTTGGCAAAGGGAAGTGCGTGGGGTATGATTCTGCTAATTTTGCTAGCAGGTAGGCAGAGGTGAAGAAACATCCTGAGCAGAAATAATGAGTAACTGATGCACAGGCTACCAGTACTGCTCTGTGACTCGCTACACACCCTGCATGGCACCGAAGCCCCAGTTGGCAGTACCAGCACTCATACCCAAATCCAGAGCCATGACAGCCTGGAAGGCAGGCACACCATGAGCTTGTTAAGGTGTGTGCTCTCAGCTGTACCCTGCAGGAGGGTGCTGGCTCACATCCCCATATCATTTCCCTAGGGACTTCCCCTGCCTGTGGGGGAAGTCAGTCCTCAGCTCCATGACACTTCTCAAGGAAAACATCCTGTTAGATCTCTCTGTCACAAAAACCGTCCTGTGAAAGCACCTCTTCTGACCATGACTAGCAATATATTCCATGGAAAAAGGCAGCGCCTCAAACAGGTGGCTCTGAGGGCATATATCACAAATCCAATCTTTTGAAAACCATCCAGAAATCCACAGACCTCTGCAATGAATCCCTCCAAAACTGTTTAGGCTGCCTTTGGTTGGGTAGCAATTTAGACCCAGACATACTTCTGGGAGAGCCACTGAGTTTTCCTAATATAGAGGAAAAGTATTTGCATTGTTCAGTAACAAAGTACAGTGAAAATGTTAATATTTTCTTTGGCTTTTACATTGTTATAACTGACAGTGTTGGCAAAAAGGCTATTTCCTTTTTAACAGCAACAAAAAATATACCTGATCTAATTATAACTGCGTTTACAGCTTTTACCATTTATGGGGATTATTGATGAATAGTGCTGTGGAGGATCTACTAACTTACTCTGGAAAAAAGAACTAGGTTTTAGGTGCATATTTAATGAATTAAAAGCTACACATTGAATAAAATCTGCATATAGGGCAGGAAATAATTACCTAAAAGATAGCAATATTTTTAAAAGTCCACAGAAAATAGCTCTAAAGGTAATTTTTCCATAAACATGGGCATCTTGAAGAACCCTTTGGAAGAAGTATGCTTCAGTTAATAAAAAAAAATTAATAATGTTTACATTCATTAGCAATCCTAACTATTGCCAATATTAGCCTTAATCATACAGACTTCTTTATTGCATTCTTTATGCTGAGGAATAGGGCTGAAAACAGGATGTATTGCATTGTCTTGAAAGATGAGGGAGGGCCTGAACCCATCATGTGTTTGTATGTCCTAATACAAGATGCTTATAGACTCAGGTCCTCCTCTGGGTTTCTTGGATTCTTTATGTTCCTCCAACAATTAAATTCTTCACATTCTGTTGAAAAATAAAACCCAAGAATTCTCTTTTTTTTTCTTATTACCTGGATGGAAAGAGGTTACACAGTGAGCTCACCTTTTCCCACCTCCTTGGGAGGGACTGCACAAGGCTGGCCACAGAGCAACAAGGAGGTACCCCTGAAAACAAAGCCCATATTTGGTAACTATCCCTTGTCTAGAAGAGGTTTTGGATAAAGAAATTACAATCAACTGGTGACACTTCAAGTCAAACAACTAATTTTTCTTGGAGAGATATTTTATATATATGTATGTGCATATCTCCTGACTACATATGTGCTACATTTTTCAATTTAAAATTAGAGTAAGGGAACCATACACGAGGTTTCCCTTATTCATGAATGTTTACAACATTTTTTGACTTCTAAATGACTTTATATTCTTGATGTTCCCCATGTTGATAGTCAGGGCCAAATCAGAGAAGGTTTTGTTATAGTACACCTCCCCCAGCATCCTCTTGAGGTGGCGTCTTGATGGGGAAGAGCACCATGTGAGGAATCTGAGGAATTGTAAACATTCGTGACAACATTACATTAAAATCATCATGAGACTAACTCTTCCAAAGTTTCACCAGCTGGGACAGCCACCTCATCACTGGGTACATGAATAAGTGCAATCAGGAAACCACTTGTGTCTGTGTATTGTCTAGAACCCCAGAGGGAGGTCTTACTACATACTCACAGCCCTCTTTTCAGTTGGATAATAGGAACAAGTCCTCCGATGAGAATTCACCAGAGTATTTTAAATAATGCATTTACAGAAGCAGATTTTATTACATACCAGGATTTTTTAAAAAAAAAACAACCCAAAAACCCATCCAAAAAATGCAATGTTTGTTTGAAAACTCTCAAAAGGAAGCTCCACCTGTCCACCTCAGAGGGCCACCAGGTTACTAAAGCCTATTAATCATTAGTGAGGTCATTTACAGGTCTTCCCTGACTCTAAAATTAAGCCATAGATGATGGTTATAAAAATCCAATTGCCCGACACATTTTCCCAGTGGTTTATTTAAGCTGGGTAATTTCTTTAAATACACATTCCCATGTTTATTCAGCACTCCTGAAAAATGCAACACCCAGATTCCTGAACCTTGGCTTCTTATTCTCTCCAGTGCTTTTGGAAGCAGTGGTGATAGCTGCTGCCCTCCAAGAGCCACTGCCCTCTGACCCCAGCAGCAGGGACACGGGAGGTGCTTCCTCCTGTGCCCTCAGTGCTCAGTCTCTTGGCCAAGCTGCTCTGTAGCCAGGGCAAGAGCTGTGTCAGGGTGAGGGTAGAAGAAAGCCACTAATTAGCATGAAGAGTGGTGCTGGCTGT